GTGGTAATGAATAGTGTTGCTTTGTACTTATTGTTAAATAGCTCTTCTTACAGACTGGTTATTAAGCAAAACAAAAAAAAGTTTTAGATATTAATACGATATTTTGTTACAGGGCAACAGCTTAAGCATGGTGGACAGGTGGATGCTACACCAACTTTCAGTAGCTGTGAGAGAGTGTAATGCTGCCTTCAAGGAGTTCAACTTCCCACGAGCAACCACTGCCCTCTACAACCTTTGGTGGTACCAGCTGTGTGATGTGTACTTGGTAAGGACTGTTGCTTATCTTGTTTTGTAGATTATTATGATTTACTTGCTTTTTGGATATAGAAATGTTTGTGTTGAAAGTATCTGCATTGTTAACCCAATGGCGCCGGGTGTACAAAAGAAAAAAAAACTCTACGCTTAAACAAACAAAGGTGGCGCGCCGACTTTGAGCGCGTGAGTAGGGGACATCAGCCCGAATCACTGGCTCGCCACGCTTTGGCGCGCCGCTGGCTCGTTTGGCTGCACGCCAGCTTTCGAGCTCTTTGTTTACACGCCGATTGGCGTCACCCGGCACCAAGGGGTTAATATGTATCTTCTCTTTACAGGAATGCCTGAAGCCAGTCATGTACTCTGACAACGAGGAAGCAAAGAACTTAAGCCGTAATGTTTTATACACAGCTTTGCATGTTGGATTGACTCTGATTTCTCCATTCATGCCATTCTTGTCTGAGGAACTGTTCCAGCGGCTCCCATCACGCACGGCAAACCAGCCACCTTCAATCTGTGTCACGTCATACCCAGAATCTGAGGAGGTTAGTTGCTGAGGAAAATGTGATTTCATACAACATAGATGGGAATTAATAATCTCTAAATCTCAACTGGAACTAGTTCTCTCTAAACCTCACGTCTGTAGTCTCTGAGCAGGAGGAATATCACAGGGTATTTTATTAGAGTAGTCTTCCACTTCATTGTGTTTGGTTTTCACACACGTAAGAAATAAAACTGTGCTCCTTTTACTTACAACTTTTATTGTTATTGTTTTGTTTTTGTTGTTATTATTATTATTAGTGTTATTATTTTTATTGGTATTATTACCAGAATTATCTGATTTTACCTTCTCTTCCAGTATGATATCTTCTTTGATGAAAAAGTAGACGAGAAGTTCAAGTTTGGCCAAAAGGTTATTGGTGAAGTGAGATCAGCCAAGGCCAAGTATGACATTCCCAACAAAACGAGGATTGAATGTAAGTTGTATTGGGTATTTCAGTTGTGACAAGTAATTACTTTGTTATTAGCTCAAAATGGTGAATATTATTGAGAGAATATGAAGTAGATTTTAATTAGCACAAAATGGTGAATATTATTAAGAGAATATGAAGTAGATTTTAATTTGCACAAAATGGTGAATATTAATAAAAGAATATGAAGTAGATTTTATATGGAATGTGAATATTCAGCTTGGATAAACTTGGCAATCTTTACAATGTGCTAGTCTGTTAATTAATGTTGACATTCTTCTGTTTAAAGTGACCCTGCAGTCAGATAATGAAGAAAACAGAGCCACCCTGGAGTCCTTGATTCAAGATATTGCAACATTGTCAGTATCAGATGTTAAAATCTCAACTGACAAGCCAAAGGGATCTGTCCCCACACCTGTAACAGCAGACACAGTAGCTTGGATGAAATTGCAGGTAGGTGTCTTATTTTTCTTTGATTTGATATTGCAGATTTAACATGACTTGCCAAGATGGGCATATACAGATTGTAGCCCATTCAGTGCTGCTTGTGTTCTATCACTTGAAATTTTATGGGGAAGATTCACTACTTTACAAGCTTTGAAGACTGAATAGATGTTTTTATGATAATAGAGATGAAATATTTACTTCAACAATAATAAATGTATTTCCAGGGATTGGTCAATCTTAGCAAATGTCAGGAAAAGATCCAGAAGAGGATACAGGATGCAGAGGAGAAGCTGAAGGCTCTTCAGGTTGAAATGGCAAAGCCAGGGTATGAAAAGGTATGTACATGATATTCTTTATATTATTTTAATATAGTATTCAATTATAATAATAGTTTTATTAATTGTTTGTTGGATGTTAATCTGTGGTGATGGATAATTGCATTGTCCACTGTAGTGTATTATAAATTTTGTTTACACATGTCATCATTGAGGCAATTAGCAGGTCTACCTCAGTTCACTTCTTATTCCCATCCTTTGAATTTTGGGGAAACAGTTTTATTTTTTCTAATGCCTTGAATATCATTACTGTTTTTATTATTGTTACTGACATCAGGATTTTTATAATATTACCATTGCTAATAGCAAGATTTTTTCCTGAAATTTAAGGAAAAGGGTAAATAGGTTAGAACAGGTAGAACTAGTAGTTGACTCCTCGATGGTTTAGCACTTGTGGAGCCAGCTATGTGTTAACAAAAAAAATAAACTAAAATTGGCGTGGACAAGACATTAAATGAAAGCTTATGAAATTCTGTGAATTTCTGTTTCATTAAAATACATATGCACCTTTTCATATAATTACAGGCCTTTCACACAAAAATATTTTGAATTGATTATTGGTAGAGATTATTCCATACAGAAAATAATTGCATCACTACAGCTATGCCCACATGACTATCATCACCGTTAACACCTCCACATTCCACTTCCCTTCTTCCCTCATCCCCCCACCTCTCTCTCTCTCTCCCTCCCTCCCTGATAGGCAACATTCTCTAACAACAAATGCTGATGTGCAACATATTTTTTTCAACAGGTGCCTGAGGAAGTCCAAGCAAGAAATAACACAAAAAAGCTTGATTTGGAAGCTGAACTGGAACAGAGTAAGGACGCCATCACCAAGATATTAGCCATGGAAACCGAGTAGCTGATAAATATGTCGTTAATCACTATTCACCGTTAGTGATAGTTTTTCAGAAGGAATGTAAATGCAATAAAGAAAAGTCTGTACATAAAGATGAGTAGGTAACGTGCCTATTTTGTCCAACAACTACATACATGATCTATTGTGTGTTCTGTACAGAGAATATATTTATAATTGTTGCACTTAAGTCCTGAACCAGTGATTATTAATAAATTTTTATTGTATGATCTGAAATATTTATTTATCCCTTCATTTACCCATTTACTTTATTTATTTATATATTTATTTTCCTCTATGTACATCATAAGCAGAGAGGAAAATCAAACAGTATGATCTAAAATTATTTTCTTTTCATATGTTTCAAACATTTTCCTGTTCCAAGTATATTTTGTAATATGAGATATATGGATACTATTCACACATTCCAGTATTTATTCAATTATTTAATTTATTCATTCTCAGGCACACTTATTTTAAAGGTAAAAGTGTTAAATATATGTATATATATCTTTTGTAACAGTAGAACTTATCTGCAAGTTGAAGTATAAAAAGCAAAAGAAAGATATTATTAATTAGAAAATTTCAAAGGGATTTGAATGTTTGGAATATGCAATTTTATATACATTAAAAGTTTGCAGTTCTCATTCCCCAATTTCAATTAGTTCAGTTTCATAAGTTCAACATAAATAAAGGAATAGACCTAGTGAGTGGGCATGATGGAAGTCAAAGGAGGTCAAACTGGATGGGCAATGTTTATTGGTTATAATAAATAAATGTGCTAGACATCAAAGGTCATATAGCACTATGGTAAAGTATTGTGGTGAAAAGGATAAAAATGAGCAAATATTTTCTGTCAACATCTAAGGTCATTAGCGGTGTATTCAATAAATAGTGATAGTGTGAGGTTTCTGGCAAAGCCCCCAGGTATGGAATGCTTATATGACAATAAAGGTCATAATGGTGCTATGGTAAATTATAGCAGTGAAAAGGTTAGGAATGAGTTAATAATTAAGGTGAAGTTACAGGTTGAACAGTTCTAGAGGGAAGTATGGTAGTAAAAAGGGTAGAGAGGGAGAACTGATGGTACAAGGTAAAGTTTGTTAGAAGAGGAAGGAATGACCTACTGTGGCAAAAATTAGTTAATTAAAATAAATGAATAGAACAAGGGGATGAAGAAAAGAAATAAGAAAGGAGGAGAAGAAAACACCATGCAAAATTAGTTGAGGAGAGGGCTGAGGACCAAGGTAGGGGTGATCCCCTACATTGGGCCTCAGTCCCCGTATCCTAAGACCTCAACAACAAGAAGCGATGGATTGAAGGGGTGTTACTTAAAAGGTATGCCAACTGATTTGGGATATTGTGTGGACAGGCCAAAGTGGGGTTAATGTATAAAACAAATATATGTGCTAGACATCAAAGGTCATATAGCACTATGGTAAAATATTGTGGCAAAAAGAATAAAAATGAGTTGATGATTAGAATAAGTGTACAGAAGAAGGGGATGAAAAAGAGAAGGAAAAGGAAAGGGGAAGAAGAAAAGACCATGCAAAATTATTTGAGGTGAGGGCTGAGGTCCAAGGTAGGGGTGATCCCCTATATTGGGACTAAGCCCCCAACAAGAGCAACGAGCATGGAATTGGGTGTGTCTAAGTGGGGTGAGGTGGGTCTCTTCATTCACATAGGGTATAATGGGAATAATTTCCTTTATGGGGGTGATTAGACACTGGCCTGGCTGGGGGTAAATGAAGTATCATATCTCCCCAACTTCAATACACTCAAGGGGCAGTGTAAGCAAAACATACTGGTAGGTCATCAAATTGCATGAGTCATTAAATGATGAATTTTGTTACAATTTTTCTTTTAGGCCCACAAAATATGACATACAAAATGAGGCGTGAAATTAATTTTACAATATCACTATTTAAGGGGTATGCAGCATCGCTACTGTTAAATATTAATGATTCTTTAGACATGTATCCATCCTACTGACATGTTTGTAGTTTCATAGTTGTTATTAGGATAAAAACCTTTTATTAATGAGAAATATTTGAAAAAAAATGTGAAGTGTTTCTATGATTTAAAGAAATCATATACATGTATATATCAAACTTGAATAGGGAAATAAGATGCAAGTTTATGTTTTTATTTTATTATTTCCTTTTACAATTTTTTTTTTCCCTTTTTATTAAATCCTTTTAAAACATCTCAACAGTTGTTTTCCTGCAGCATATTCATACACCTCCTTACAGCCACATAAACAAACAAAAATATATATTTAAGACATTAGTGATTACAAAAGGCTACTCTTGAGACACTTCCATTGGTTCTGCCGTTGATGTTGAAGCTTCATTGTTGGTTGACTTGGCTTTGTTATTACTTTTCTTCAGTGCTTTCATCTTGCGTGTCTGCAGCTGACCCAAGTCTTGCTTCGTCATGTGAATGCGACCAAGCTTTGTACCAAACACATCCCTACTCTGGTTCTTCTTCTTGCCCACCTGAAACGGAAACAAAAATGCTCCATAAAAATAATTCATGGGTGGGTGGGGGGAACAGTGACATTTATGGAAATATAATACTCTCAAGTTTAAAGCTGTGAAAGTTTCATACCTTCAGATGTTTAGGTTGCCTGCAAGCCTTCTTCTTCAAGTCATCTGAGGCAAACTTGGTTCTCCTAATTTTCAAATCCATACAAGGTCCAATTTCCTCTAACTCAACACGGGGGATTCTTGTGCCAGATTTTTTCAAAAGGATCCTGTGAAAAATGAATAAATGAATAAATGAATAAATAATAATGTTGTTAATACTGGGTTAAATCAACCCTTATTTTCCAGAGTAAACTGAGATAATGTTACTTTCCAGGTTTTACTGACAAAAATACTGTCAATGACTGTATCTTATTACCTTGCATTAGCTTGTTCACTATCTACACCTATGAGGTTTTCTCATCTCTTTGTGAGTGTTTTTCTCAACAAATGACAATACCTATATTATTTACATTTTCTTCATAATCATGATGATTCATCTTGTTACATCCATAAACTGTGTGAAGTACAGCTAACTACTGGCAAATTTGACAATTCTATAGCCACAGTACTCATGGCATCTTTGGCAAGTGATGTTTATTGCCATTACTATTTTATGTTTCTGAAATCTTCCACAATATTCCAATTAAAATGAACTTTTGATGTTGTTACAGTCTGTGACATACAATAAATCAGAGAATCATTACTGTCCAAGGTACAGCATCCCAAATTTGCATCTTTAAATATACTGAACATTTTAATGGATAAAGAAGTGATTGGGAGGAGGAAATGCCCTCATCTTTTGAAACATGGTAATCAGATGGGGGGAGGCAAAGAAGAAGGTTTTGGGTTCATATGGTGATCTTTATGTTAATTTGTATATTCAAGGAAGGGTTATGCCATCATTTGTGTACAAAATACTTGTATCTTTTTTCACTTTCTTAACTGCCAGTAAAAAATGCCAGTAGTATTAGGGACTTTACCTCGGCTGAGTACCATCACATCATACCAATACCTTAATCCTTTTCTTCTGTAACGAGTAAATGCAACATGCAAATAATAATAATAATAACCAACTCACTTGTAACTCCTCATATAAATGGTATCATCTGTTGCTGTGAAGAGAAGTGCATGTTCGAAGCCCTGCAACCTGACATCAGTTGCCTCTACACCCCTAAAGAAGTCAATCAGTATGTTTTTCAGGTTCCTGAACTCCATTAAGTCTTCAAACTGGGTGCCACAGAAGACCATGCAAGGTTTATTGCCCACAGTAATTTTCTTGTTTTTGAAGTCTTCTAAACCTAAGTAGTTGTCTACCCCTAACTCAATCAGGTCAAGAATATGGTGGTTAAACATCCGTCCTGTAAAAGAAAGAAAAAATCATTATGCAAATTTGATTATACGTCTTCCTTTTACTGTTAATATAAATATGCTATCATGGGTTTTGGAATATGATCATTTCAACATTCTAAAACCCTCAAGATATTGGCTTGTTCACCTTAAAAAGCTTTTGTTTTGTATCTACACAAGCAGCCAATGTATTTAATTCTTCAATAATAAACAGAAATAACAAACAAACAAAAACATACCCAGAATAAGGTTATTAGGTCTCTTTTTGGAATGTGAGGCATAAGCAAAGAGCGATGCATCGTGCTCGTGCGCCAATCTTTCCACGGGGAGAATGTCTTCAAAGGGTAAGAGCTGGTCCTGACTTTGTAGAAGCTTTGAGTCTTGTCTTTTCAGTGCATACTGAAAGTCAAAAGAAAGCAATGAATTGGAGAAAGAAAAACAATGTATATAAAGATACAAATATATTTATATAGACATACACACAGAAAAGAGAGATCAATACCTATAATCACATTTTTTTTATCTATCTATCTAAGTAATGAATCATTTAATTAATAAATGTAATAGGTTTCAATTCAGTTGCTGTGGCTATAGTCTAGCATACATTAAGTGGAATGTAAAAAATAAATTAATCAAATAAAGGAAAAATAATGTTGAAAGAAAAAAATGAAGAGTAACAGTAATATTACTTACAATATCTTTTAAACACTTCCGCATAAACTCTCCAGTCTTTTTCCCATGAAGAAACAAACACTGTTTTGTATTTTCTACAATCTTTGGCTCCCTCTTCACCAGGGCACGCTTTGCACGTGGATTTTTGGGCTTCCTGTAATAGTGGTAAAAAAAAAAGAAAATCAATCAACGTCCATCAATTTCTATCTTGCCATGATACCTTTAATTTGGATGCTCATGACACATTAATTACGATCTCTAATGGGACCTAAATATCAACCCTTTAAGGCCTAATGCAAGGGTTTTTGGGTGGCAGAGTCCCCTTGAAGTCTCACAGGAGGCTTTATTTTTATGATATATATGCTTTTGTTTTCCTTAGATTCTCACAAGGACTAAAAATACTTAAAAAGCAGTTTACAGAGAGCAATATTGCAAGAAAGTTAAAGGCAAACCAAATTTTTCACAATAATTAGTTCTTTTTCAATTATATAAATAACTATTAACTTATTCGACACTTCCACTGTGGGATCCTTACTGCAATTAAAATTCACATGATTTTAATTCAGTATAAACTAACATTCCCTTTACTATTCCTGAAAAAAAAATACATTTATAACATCATGAAATACTTACACCACTCTTTGCATTACAGTCATCTTGTTACAGTTACTCTGTTGTCGTCTTGTAGAAGAAAATGACCACTTGTTATAGCATATAGAGTTCTGTTAAAAAATCCAGCCTTTGTCAATGATTTTAATGAATTTTAGTGAGTTTTATGACAATAATGACCACTCTCGCCACCCACGTGTTTCTTCCCGTTCCCGTGTTTACAGTCTTGAGGGATCATAAGGGCAAACACTGTGATTAATATTTCTATGATTGATATAGAAGGTAGTGTTTCTTTCGAGTATGATATTATGATAATATTTTGTAATTTATGATTTATCCATTTTATCGAAATATGAATAGAGAAATTTTACATACCGTAAATAAATCTGCCAGATATTCCTCAAATACCTTAAAATGAAGTATAAATTTTGAAAAAAATAGTTCGCTAAACATGCATAAATAAACAGCAGTATAAAATTTTATAATATAACTTTATATTCTAGCACATCCACGTAGAAAAGAACCAACACGCAAGTCCACATTCCAGAAGTAAATAAACAGACGACGAAGTATGAACTTGACACTCGGCGGCAGGAAAGTCAAGTCTTCGTATTAAGTCGCCTTTTTGGTGTCCTTTATTGGGCTAACTAGAATTTTATGTACGGTATACTTATATCAAAGCCTGATCGCTTAAATAGACAAGATGAGTGAAGCTGACGCTATATTTAAGGTGAGGAATATATGTTGGGAACCTGAGGCAAGTCAGTTGTACGAAATATTTATTTGCATTAACTCAGTTTTATGGTTTTGTTTTTATTCTGATGAATTTATTTCCATGATGGCTGCATATACTTGTTTATTACTTATTTAGGGCATCATGTGCCTGATGTGAATATAAGAAATAAAGATAATTTAATGAAAATGTAGTTTCAAGTTTCATGCTTTAAACTTCGATATTTGCGATTTAAAGTTCCAGTTAGTTGGTTTTAAGGAGATTCTGTATGAATGAGTTTTGCTAAGATTTAAATAATACATGAAGAACATCCTAATTGCTAACACATAACATGACATTCCAGGGCAAGATCCACTACTATGGAAGAGAGCAGTATTATCAAGCAATGCAAAATGAATCTGTGGCAGCAACAAAAAAGTTTGGGAACGATCCTGTGTATCGCTTCTACTCTGCAGTGTCGCACCTTCTGCAAGGCCAGACACAAGAAGCAATTAGACAGTTGCAACCATTGCAGGTGGGTTGGTTTTGAAAAATTAAATTAAATTAAAAGACCCCAATTTATCCTAATCCAGTCTAAATAAAGCCTCCCAAAAATTGAAATTTATCAAGAACCATATTCACATTGTGTAAACCAACTCCTAATGCTAATTCTAAAGCTAATTGTATCAAACAAAAATTCAAGGCTAAAGCAATACCTATTGAAATTATGAAATAAATCTAAGTATATGAAGAAGAACATATGTAATGCTGTTAAGGTTTGGAGTTTGAATTATTTTTCTTGTGGTTTTAATGAGAAACTATTATTTCTTCTAATAGAATATTTTGTTTATTTGTAAAAGTTCTCCTTTTAGAATGGCATAAACACAAGACACATATATTAATTTTTGTTGTATACCTCCTCACAGAATGACCACGATGTCATGCTGGGAACACTTCTTGCACTGATCTATGCCCATCGACATTGCCAAGTTGTTGACAAAGAAGCTGTTACTATGTTGGATGCTAAGCTAAAAGAAGAAAGGAAAAGGGCGCCAGAAGCTGTAAGTGGGGCATTAACGCATGTGACTTGTACCATTTAAATTTTGTTTGGAAGTTATTGTAAAATGATAGATGCTTGGGTATAGTTACTGAAATTAGTGATGCCTTAAATTACTCTTCAGTTTTTATCTTTCAGTGTTTGTATTATGCTGCCATGTTTCTTCTGCTCTCTGGAAAAGTGGACAAGGCGCGAGAATATGTTGATCGCATGTTGAAACTAAACCCTGAAGATCTTGCTGGGCTGTCATTAAAAGGCTGGGTGGAACTGTCTGCTGGTAGAGAGACTAAAATAAAAAATACAGTTCAGCTGTTTGATGCTGTGCTTCAAAAGTAGGTGGCATAAATTGTTTATACTAGCCTTATGACTATAATCATATATAGAACTTTTGTATTTAACAACCAAAACTTTAGACTGAATTTATATATGTTTGCATTTTCATATTATTGCTTAATAGTATAAAAAAAATGTTTTAACATGCCTCATATATTGTGTACTTTTTAACAGGATTTATGATTTACCTTCTAAATCTTTAAAAATCATTTTCTTAGGTCCCCAAAGTATATTGATGCACTCTTTGGAAAAGCAAAGTACTATGAAAATCGCAGTTCTTACAAAGAATCAATGGAAACTCTGAATCTCCTTGTTGTTGCATACCCTGATTTTACCGGACCCCTTGTCGAGAAGATGAAAGTGTATCTCTCAGAACAAGAATGGGATCAGTCTATGGATGCAGCTACAAGGTATGTTTATTTAAAATTATATTAGATTTGGTATCCAATTTTATTCATTCATTGGACTCTTGCCAGTGACATGTTCATGAAATTATCATCTTTGAAATACTAAATATACTCTCATTTTTCGTCAGAGTTCTTAGTGTAGACTCTCACAATATTGAGGCCTTGAAGCATAAAACCCTGTATGCATTGTGCCGCCAAGGTAACTATGATGAAGCATCTCAGGCGTTAAGAGATCTATACAGCGAAATGGATAGAAGTGAGCCAAACAATGCATCTCTCTTTGTTCATATGGCCCAGTTGTTTTCAAGAATTGTAAGTATAATAAATGAGAAGTAAACAAATAGAAAGGATAGAATGAATATATTTTGAGTTCTTGCTCACTGCTTGATCATTGATAGATAACTTATATTTATGCCCAACAAATTTCTTGTATGAAAGAAATGATTTTCTATAAGAATATATTTTACTGCATAGATGTTAATAGATTAACTTATTTTATTAATACATATTTATGACAAAAAAATTCTTAGTGTGGAAGAAATCGTCTTGTGTTAGAAGAGACTTTCATGATGGCAAGCAAAGCTGCAAAAATCGATACAGGGAATGCAGAATACCTCACAGAAGTAGGCTATCAGTGTCTGTTACAAGGTCGGAACAAGGAAGCCACGAAATATTACAAGAATGCTACTAAATTGGATGAGTCGTCTGTGGCAGCTCTCACAGGTTAGATACCCTGATATATGGTTATATATTCTTTATAAAAAAAAAGAATTTTGCATTTGTTGCTGTATCAATTTATATATCTTTTCATATACATGTTTTCTGTATATCACTGTCTAATATGTGTTTACATTTATTATTTTTGCCACTTTAAAAGCCTTTTTTTTATATCACAATGCCACTTTAAAAGCCATAATTTTTATGTTTTTTTTATATCACTATGCCACTTTAAAAGCCATAATTTTTCTGTAGGGATAATCTCATGTCAGCTGTTAGATGGCCAGGTGGATGTTGCAGAACAGCAGTTGGAATTTCTCAAAGAGGTAAGTTTTCATACAAGTAATATCCTGTGATCTCACGTCTGTTATTGTTCTTGCCAAGTTGGACACGTAGTCATAAGTTAATTTGACTGTTATTACTCAAGATTTCAAGTAGGAAACCTTCCAGCTTCCATTTTCCTTGAAGCCCACCCCAATTTTTCCAGGTTCAGCGTAGCCTTGGGGCTTCTCCGGATATCCTTTACTTGTCTGCTGTTTTAGGGAGGATGAAGAATCAAAATCCTGATACAATTCTAGGTATTTTTGTATGATAAGCTGTATGTAACATGTTATTACTGTTACTGTTATTATTAGAATTGGTAACATTTGCTTATGAAAATTTAATCTTCATGTATTTACTTTTGCATTTTTTTTTATGTTTTGGTAATGGAATAGTAAATATGTAGAATTTGAATGACAAATTATTTTGTTTCTTAGTTATAACTTCTGTTGAGATTATTTATATATATATTTTAAGGATTGATTTTTAAAAAATTGTAAAACTTCAGAATAATACTGAAGTTGTCTGTGAGATAAGATTATCATGCTTTGTATATTTCATCATAGATATTGTACAAATTTGCTTCTGTGTTTTGGACTTACATAGAGGAAATGATATCAATTATTATCCATAGCTTTACTGACTGAGGCAATTGACAACCACTTCAAGAACCACCGAGGAATGGCCTTTGGTTCAACGTATCTGGCTGCTCTGAATCCTGACTTCTTACTTCTCATTGTCCATGAATGTCTCCTGTATGCTCCAAATCAGGTATGGAATAAAGTGTCTTGGAAGTGTCAAATTCTGTGTAATTCTCCTGTAGCACATGCCATATACACTTTTTTCTTGGTTTCATTGATTAAGAGAGTGTTAGTTCATAAAAGAGAGATTCAGAAAGTGAAAATCTTTTATCATTGTTCCTATAATACTTTGAACATTTTATGAAATTGTATACTTTATGTTTATTTCACTAGCCAAGTGATACTGCAACGACAACTGAGGTCCCTCCTGTTGTGAAACGAGCATTACTTGTGCTGGATGCCATTACCCGTGCATGCCCTGCCCTCCTTACTGCTCTTGTACTCTCTGCTCGTACAAAGTTTGTTACTGGTGATGTGAAAGGAGCATCAACAATACTCCAGCATGTACTAGATGAAATTGGTAAGGAAAATTTAGATTCATATCATGTTGAGATCAGAATATTTTTAGTATTTTAAAAAGCAAAATCAGATGTCTTGCAGTATGTCTTAATATCACTTGTATTGACAGACTCAACAAGTTCAGATGCACACTTGCTGATGGCCCAGATTCAGCTCCACCAAGGAAACTTCAAGCAAGCTCAGCAAAGCCTGGAAGTGGGACTCTCATATAACTTTGAGGTATTTTTTTCTTGACCACTTAAGTTATAAACAAAAAGCCCAACATTTTTAATAGCTAGTACCATATTAACCCGGAAACATTAAGCCAGAGTAGTTTACTGTATTGTTAAGAGTTTTGTATGTAGACAGCCACTGACTTTGAGTTTGATAAAGCTAAGGTTTATGATGATTTATTCTCATAGACTGCACTCTCTTTGCATTAATAGGTGAGAGAGCAGCCAACATACCATCTGGTTCGAGCAAGGGTTATGAAAAAACAGGGGCAGTATCAAGAAGCCATCAATACCCTG